GCCCAAAGTTAGTGCACTTATTGCGACTCGACACTGTTGTGAATCTCTTTTCCTAGAAACACAGTGCTCGTCCCAACCCACAGGCAGGACACTGGGTCCCGGGGCCGGCCGAGGGCGCGGCCGTCACACGGCGCTCACCTCTCTGTCCATACTCTCTAGGTCTTCCTTACAGAGCGTGTACAGCGGCAGGGTCTCTGACATACTGGGCTGTCGCTTTCTTCTGGGACCGGGCTGCTCCCCAGCGCGATTATCTGGCAGCTCCTCACCAAACATCTGCTGCTGATGTGGCTGAACAGCTCTGAAAAGAACACGTTAGGTCCCACGTGAGGCAAGGCAGTTTCAGTTCACCTTCCCATCACTGAATCGGATCCGACTCGCGACAGGCAACCACACGCGCACACACAGAACACTCTAGAAACATGCTCTCTTCTGCCCGCTGGCTCGAGTCTGCTGGCCTCCAGTGGATGCAACACCCACGGCCGCCCAGAGCATCTGCCGGGCTTCACTCATTTTAGAGCAAAGGGCAGAGAGGAAGAGCGACGATGAAAAGTTTCCAAGAGGCCAGCAAGGAGTGTTATTTATCCTCAAAATAAGGCTGCGCAAGCCCTAAGATTTAAAAAACAAACTCACTACATCTCTACTATCCAGGCTATGAAAACAGGAAACGTGACGGCGAAGTGAAGACACAGACGCCACCTACCCACAGAGAACGCGAAAAGGCACCTTGAGTTCTGTGTCCGAAGTTGGATTAACTATTAAGTATTAATACACTAAACCAACCAGCAAAGACCGCCCCAGAGCCGACACTGTGTGAGCCAGAGACGGTTCCATCATGTTCCAGCAGCTCCCTCTACACGTCTCCATGGTCAGGTCTCGTGGACACACCCACACGGCCTGTCACGTGACTCCTGTCACGGCCGTGGACTTTAAGGGGCTCGTGACCGCGGGAGTCACTCCTCTCTGAGCGCTGTCTCTGGAGCCAGCAGCTCTGGGGCTGGGAACCAGAAACCACAGGTTCAATCTCTACAACACTGAGCACATAGTAGTAAAACCTCGTTATTTTGAAGAAAAATGGGGGTATAAAGTCTAAACTACAAAATTAAAAAGCAGCAATTGTACTGAACTGATCATATGTTATCTAAGGAAGGTAAAATGTTTTAACCTGGAATCAGAAAGGACAACCTAAAAAATGCTGATCTCGGCTTATTCAAGTCAGAGTAAGTTGACTCCTGATCAACACGGGGTCCACCTGTGCGTGGACGGCCTTCAGTAAACACCTGCTGTTTCTGATCTGAGTTGGGAATTATGGGTGCGGGGGGCCGGCCGTGTGCATGATGTAGGCTGTTCTACAGAGGGGCCTTGAACATCCCGGAGTCTGGTATCCCCAGGGGGTCCTGGAACTGATCCCCCGAAGGTGCCCAGGGACAATGAGGTTCTGGGGACTCAAAGATTATATGTGAATTTTCAACTGTGCAGGTCACACCCCGCTGTTCAAGGGTCAGCGGCACGTTCCCGGCCTCGCCAGCAGTCCACCCACCACCCTGAGTGCTTGACCCTCACGCTCTGACGGGGACATCAGGCCCACTTACCATCAGCTCAACACGCAGAGCTCCAATATGAATGCGGAAAAGTGGCAAAGGGCTCTTTTTACTAAAAATAAACACATTGTATAGTCTCCCTTCAGAAAAATGGTTCCAGAGTTTTAACAAAAACATGGAAGGTGGGAACGAGCACTCCCCTCTTCAGGAGCTGACCAGGGGCCTCCGGACCTTAGGGTGCGTGGAGCTAGACAGAGCCTGGGCTGCAGCGGGAAGGCGCAAGGGGGAAAGGCTCGATACCCCATGTCCCAAGACCTTGTAAATCGGTCATCAAACTGAGGGTCCTGAGTCCCTCAGGGCACCTGAGAAGTTCTCCCTTAAGGCCGGGGGCGGAGGGTAAGGGGGGGACAGTCTGTTTCTTCCTGCGTCTTTTCGGAAGAACAGATCTTGACGGGTGGTGGGACCACTGTCCTTGCTAAGCCAGAGACCCACAAAATGCAAACAAGCCCCGTTTCTCATTACGTTTCTTTTCAATCTGGAAAATAGTTATGCATCCACCAGCAGCTACAAGAACATTTTAAACAAAGGGAACAGCAGCCTTGGCAAGGAGACAGAAGCACCAACTGACCAACCAACCAAGGAGACGCAGAGGGGAGTTCCCCGTCACTATGGAGGAACAGGGAACAAAACCAGTGACCTCAGAGATGGGACAGAAACCAGCAATCTGCACCAGACAGAAAGGAGACTGAAGAGGGAATGAGGAGAACAGCTCTGGGGACACGTGAGACGGTCACAAGGCTTCGACGTCCTGTCCCTGGGACCAGGAGGAGGAGCTCGGCACAGCCTTCAGGTCTGGGGCTCAGTGAGTCCCAGACAGGACGAAACAGCACAGCCACAGGACCACAACGAAGCCCCAGCTCAGACAGGGAAAGGTCCTGAAGGCGGGGAGGGAAACGCAGCTCGCAGGGCAGGGAAGAGGCGGCACAGGGTCTCCACCACGCGTGATGGAGCCAGGACAGAGGACGGGGGACGGGCTCCTTGACTGCGGCACAGTCACACCCATGTCTGCCTCAAACATGAAGAAAAAGAGAAACTGCACAGGTCAGAGGATAGCAGGGAACCAGGGCAGCCTTCTGCTCCTCACTGTCCCCCGATTCCAGTGTGATCAGCGCCCCCCCGAGGGCCTCAGCACTCGGACTTGGTGGACACACACAAAGACCTAAAACGAAAACTGCACCCTCTCAGGGAGAGGACCTGGCACGAGGCAGGGCTGCCAAGCCAGCACCAAAGTGAAACCCACGGGAGGAAAATCAACCACCTCATCAGAGTAAGAACTTCTGTTCTGCCAAACACTCTAAGACAGCGGACACCAGGCAGAGGGGACAGTCTGCAGTCACAGAAGTGACAAAGGGCTCGTATCCAACGTGTACACTCAACCCTGAACCTTGGCAGTACAAGCAAGCAGCCCAGTTAGAAAAAAGTCCGAAGAGAGGAGGTGCTCCTGCCCAGGGCACACGGACGGCCCAGGCTGGCCCAGCACGAGACCTTGAGGAGGTGCCAGTGAAAGGGGGACACACCTCATGCTGTGCGACACTGAGAGGCAGCGTGGCTGCTGGGGCACGAGAAGGTCCCACCCTGAGAGGGCTGGGCAGGTCCTGAAAGGACCAACCCACACTTGGCACCAGGACCCGCCTCCGAGCGCCCTGGATGGGCCAGCGTCCGAGCCCAGAACCCACACCTCTCAGTGAGTGTGTCAGACGCTCACAGTTCCAGAGCCTCCAGGGAGATGGGTTCCAGGTGCCCTGTCACAATAGGGTCCCGGGCCCAGAACAGGCTGTGTTGCCGTTCTCAGGGTGAGGAGAAGGGGCTCCCCCTCCCACTGCCCTTGACACATAGGAACCACGGCGGGCGGGG